AGGGTGGGAATCGATTCCCCCCGGTGGCTGGTGAGGGGCCTCGGGGTCAGAGCTGATGGCTTTACCTTCCGCACGCAACCTGTGATGCAAAAACACAGTAATGCCCCTATGATCATCCCTCAACAAGCCTACGGAGAGCACTGGAACGTACTACAGTGAGTTTGTGTTGAATTTATTATCTTTCGTCTCTGATTGCTCAACTGATATTACATTAGTGGTACAGTAAAACAATATTCCTCCAGGATCTTTACATTGTTTCAGTGACATACAAATATTTGAGAAAATGGAATATAGGATTGTAAAAGCAATGTAGGTCCTATCTAGTCCTAGTCTAATCTGGTCCTACCTTGCCTCTAATGATATATTTTAACACAGATATTTATTTGATATTTGTACTTTATATAGCCTGTTATTGAGATATTTTCTGCAGGTTGATCCATGGGCCTCTAATAAACAAAGCAGTGATGTCCAAACAACCATTAATGTCCCTAATTAACATATCATTTTATTTGTCTAATTTTTTATCAATACTTCGGGTTTCTGGGAAATGGTGAGTTTTTGTTTCATTTGACTGAAACTAAATCTGTGGAATATCCAAACAGTATTTGATAACAGTATAAAAGGTTTTATACAACGTTTGCATTAAAATCCCACTGTGCAGAGCCAGTTTTGAGTCATTTATACATCATCATTTATACTTTCTAAGATTATTTTGGTCTTCCCATGGTCTTGCAGTTTTAAGTTATGTTTTCTTCTGTGATGTTTATATGTAGATAACAGGTTCTTTTTAAAAAATCAGAATTACAATTAGGCACATATATAATCACACAATCTAGCTTGCATTATGACCCATATCCACCACTTTTATCTGACTTGGGGTAGCTGCTGTAGCACCTGCAGGAGACTCCCATGCTGACCTGTGGCTCAGAGGACATCTGGGAATATCATGCATGCCTCCCACAGCTCCACATTCACCCTGTTCAAACAGACCACCAACTAATTATGGCTTTCCCAGATCCCTGAGCTCTAGAAATCACTACAGAATAAGCCACGGGTATGAGATGTTTTCTTTTGTCCCCCTTCACTGTGGTTTAGTTGACTGGGGATTCAGCAACAACAAATGAAAATAAACTATCTGCATAGACTTAAAGCACTGAGACTATGGGAAGAGAGTGTTTCAAAAAATATCAGGTATTAAAAACAATTCTACCCTCATGCCTTCAGCCTCTTGTTTTAGAACTTAAAGTCAAATGATCAAAACAACTGAGAGGAATGAAAGATACCTTCATTTTTTTTATTCAAGATATTGCCAAATATTTACAACATTCAAAATGCGCAGACTCCAGATCCATTCAGCATTCTGTGATATCCCAAAAATAAATAACTTTTATTTGAGAGAGGAAAAGGAATTTCGAACCTGTGTACAAAAATAAATACAAAATATGTCATTTGCTGTGAAACATTGTCACAGGAAATGTGGAATGAATTGTTCATTTTTCACTCATATTTCAAAACAGAGCAGTCCCTCAGAGCTCATTTTCGTTTTTTTTACAACATTCATCGTCGCAGTGGTCTCTCTATTTCTTCATATCCGTCCTGTCTGTCCTAAGTGCTCCCTTGCAAACATTATAGTCCATGCAAAGGGAAGAGGGAAATATGAAAAGTCCACTCTCTTCTCAGGCCTGATGCACAGCGGCTGTGCCTGGGCCTCAGCTGCGTTTGGCCTGTGTCAGTCTATCTGAAGGGTTGGCCTGATCCACTGGTTCCACAGTCTGGATAACCTGTGAAAAACGTTATTCATTTGGTTAAGAAATATTGAAGAGATAGAAATTAATCCATTGTAGAACTATCTCTTAAAGCATTTGTGTAAGTGCAGAGTAACCTGGTTGTGACCTATGGGGAAAGCAATATAAACATAGGCTAAATCTAAATTTTCAGAACAAACAGCATATTTCCTCTGTAAAACCCCCATTCTACACATCAGTTGCAAATAACTACTACATAGCGTGATGTGTGAATTCCACATTTTAAGGCTTCTTTTTACATACAATGTGCGTAATTTCCTTTTTGTTGGCTTCCCTCTACCGGGATTTTCACTCATTTCATAACCAAAATAAAACAGGCTTAATGAATTGTACGGGAGTTTTGGGCGAATGTCATACAAATATTGCAGCCAAAGTAGACTATAACTATTGGAACATTAGCTTTGATTTTTTCATGTGGGTGCGGTGCGTAAAATGCGCCTATGACCATTTTTGGCACAGCTTGTCTCCCTGCAGGATGAAAAGTGAAAGGAGCCCAGCCTACCGTGCTGTCCCATCCGCAGCAGCCCTGCTAGTGGGACGTAGTAGACAGGGACCACGCGCCCCCCATCCTCCAGACCGAGAACGCGTAGCTCAGGCGCTCGTGCGCCACGTAGCTGCAGCTGGTTCCTCGCGCGTCCAGCTCGTCGCTCTGCAGAACTTGGCACAGGAAGTCGATGTACCGGGCCGCCAGCTTCAGCGTCTGGATCTTGCTGAGTTTGTCCGACGGGAGGGTGGGAATGATCTTACGTAACGACGTGAATGCCTCGTTGAGAGACTGTGTCCGTTGCCGCTCGCGGATGTTGGCCATCACGCGCTGCGTCTGTAGGTCATCGAAGGAGCGCGCGGGGCTGCTGCTGGCCTCGCTGTCACCGCTCCCGGCGCTCCCGCCTCCACCATCGCAGCTCTTTCTGCATTTCTTCTTCCCGGGGCTCGGACTCTCCACGTCTCCCTCCTCCTCCTCCTCCTCCTCCTCCGCGTCCGTGTTCCTTCGTGCCGCCCGCCGCTTCCTCGCGCCTCTCCGCGGCAGCTGACGATCGGTCTCCTCCTCACTGTTCCCCGCACTGTCCATTGGGGAGGAGTCCTCTTCCCGCATCGTCTTTTCCAAAACTTTTCTGTGGTCTTAAGGACCGTTATAACCCCTGACCCGAATCCCCTGAACTGGTTACAACATCAACAAACAGGACAGGTAATGAGGAGTGTGGCCTGCAGTGGGGTGTGGGCTGGTATTACGGTAAATCTCGTGCGCCACGGAGAGGGAGAGGTGGCTGCCAGACTGGGACGACCGGGGCTCTTATAGGAGCGGGCAGGAGGATTTTGGGGAGCGCTGTGATTGGGTGAGGAGGGGTGTAACATAATACTGCAGGAGAAGGAGAGGACTAGCTATAATATTAGGAATAGAGTTTAAGACATGCAGGCTCCTTTTTACACAAGATTGTGAAAGGGGGTGTAGTATTGGGGCGGTGTTATTGAATCATAGGTGTAAATTTTTGCAAAGGCTCAACGGTCTCACTTTTAGGGATGAGTTCTTTTCCCCCACCCCAATTTATTTCTGCCCCAAATGCGTAATGCTGTTTTTTTTCTAACACCCACTCACTACTAACTTGAAATTACTGTAGGCTGAATTAAACAGAACAATGCTTTTGAAAGTCTATAAAATGAACCTTGACAATAAATGAGACCATGTTCAGACTCATTTTGCCATTTTTGTATCATTTTCCAAGTCCTTTTTTTAAAGTTGCTGTTCCATACATAAGCAAACGTGGACTTTAGATTGCTTCCTATTGCAAACAAATCAAAGACAAACAGAAATTCCTCCACAAGGCTGTTGTCTGTCGTAGGCCTCAAGTCTCCTAGTTCAGGTCCGGACACTGTCCGAGTTGGGAGCAGTGGTGGCGGTGAAAAATATCAGACCTACTGAAACACAGGAGGTTGTCACAGCAGGAGGTCTTTGCTCGTATAAGCAGAGCGAGGTGTTTATTTTCCCGTCAGCGGCCCCGCGTTGAGGTATGCGCTTAAATGGGTCTGGCTCCCGCAGGGATCTCGACACTACGGCTCAGGTTTAAAAGACGGGCCGTCCCAGGGAGCTCTCAGGGCGGATCCGTGCGCACAGCGGGTCGCTAAAGGCGGTGTACGGCTGGAGCGCACAAGGCAAACAGTGGAGGTGATGAAGATTGGAACTGGGGGGGGGGGGGGGGCTCAGAGCCTAAACACGCACACATGACCACCCAGCTCTGGGGCCTACCGCGATATAGCCTAGGCCTAATATCAAAATCCAACAGAAATACCTCTACATGTGGATGAAACTAGATCAGGCAACTTATGAGGGTGGTCTGCGTTGTGAATTACACACCTGGAGGCCTCACACCTGATGATCAGGGTGGCACGAGGACACCCCTTTTATTAGAAGACGCATGGTTCAAGCGCCTTTCGGGATCTGAATCTCCCTGGTCTAAATGTCTCTGTCTTTGGGAATCTGTTCCTCAGTTTACCTCTCCGGATCTTGTCCCACCTCTCTCATCATATCACTGAGCCAATTTACACCTCGGTGCCAAAGATAATACCCAGCGTCATGCCGTGAGCCCTGGATTTGCTTTTCAAATCTGCCTCATTTTAAGGCTTTTTAGGGCCAATAGATCCTTCGTATCTGCTCATGTTCTGTTTGAGGAAAGCCACACGTGGTCTCACCTGTTCATCGTCTGTGACGGACCAGGTGAAGCGAGCGGCTGTGTTGCTCTCCAAGGTGCTGAAAAAAACACACCTGCAATTTCACTGTTGCATAGCACCCCGTTTAAAAAAGTTGTAATAGCCTATAACGTCTGTGACCTTTGGTCAAAATGAGTCTGAATTAAATTTTATGTTCCTTTCTTTATCATTGCATCGGAGCGCAAAGAACACATACATTACCATAGGCTGTAAGTTTATTTTTAAACAACAATAAGTCACATAAATTAAATGAAATATTTGGGTAAAATGTTCTTGGTTTGTTTATGTCAGTCTAATAATTTAATAAAGGTAATAACGTGTTGCCACTGATATAGCTTCCTTCTCGGAAAAAATTCTCTTTGGAAATGTTGCGATAAAAATCTGTCGGCTATAGTCTCAGATATATTTTTTAGTTTGCTGTGGCTATAATATTAATATACATTGGTAAGGAAGTCTGGTCCAGTCTCCATGGAATAAAGTTAATATTCTATCTCAGGTGTTTTCCAGCAGTTCGGTCATGAAGGAGATATAAACGATGGCTAGGCGCAGTGTCTCGATACGGGACAGCCTCTTCTCGTAGGCGAATGTAGGAACTTTCCTCCTCAGTTCATCAAACGCCTCATTCAGGCTAAACATCCGCTTTCTTTCTCGCACGTTGGCCGCCTGTCGCTGGACCACGGTGATGATCCTCCTCCGTTTGGACTTGGTGTGGCCGTGGACCCCGCGGGTGTAGTACCTCGGTGGACCCATCACCAGATGCTCGGCCCTCAGCTCGGCAGTGTTCACGCCGTTATCCAGCCCCCTGCTCCAGGATGAGTCGTTTATCCGCGTCTGGTTGTTCGGACTGGGTGGGGTATTATCCACCTGCTGTTTCGGTCCCAGAGTGTACTTTTGTGGAAACTCTATTAGGTTCATGTCATTGACAAAATTTATTAAGGTGGAGTCCACTAAGCGGCCTTGCAGCTCCATATTCAGTCCCCAACTGCAGTCTCATAGAAAATAGCCTGTGTCACTTTTATGGGTCTGCTGTTCAGTCAAGCGCAACAACTGACGCCAATCAAAGCTTTCAGGACTGTCTAAAATCATTCACCAGACACTGAGACCAAAGCAGGAGAGCATCTCAAAAAGTGAACCCAAACTTCCCCAAATCCGGTCAGAGCCCAACAGGGTGAGATCCTATTTGGCTCAAATCCAAGGCCTTTTCCTGCTGTTTTAATAAGTGGCTTATGCCACTTCACAGTGCCACATCTTTCCTTTCATGTCCCCTTTAGCTCCAAACTGAGTCCATTTCTGTCGTTAGTTGGCCGACGAGTGGGTTGAATCTGAGGAGAGAAGCTTAAAAAGGCAGAGAGGAAACCGGAGGGCCCTGCCAATTGATGTGCTGTCCTGGAGGCCCTTAATGAGCTTCTGAAGAACGGAGGCTCTTGACAGAGGGTCATACAGTCTTATTTGCACTCTCCCCTCTGCTTCAGAGGCTAAATAATGACACTTTTATCACTTAAACAGGCCAGGGGAAGACCAAATAGAACATTCCCTAACAGTCACTATACACCACAAGCTTTTCTGTTGCAAATTAAAGCAAATAGCCTAACTGTCCGTTCCCATGGAAAGACAGTGTCCACACTGCAGGGACTGCTGAGAGGGCCACTGGTGTAACTGTGGGCTTCAACACTTTGAGAGTGCTTGGTCATTATAAAGTGCTCTGCATCTGTAACACAGTTTTTTTTTTAATTGATAACAGATGATAATAGTGGTGATAAAGATGGGAAAACATTTTGACTCTGATCATTTCAATTTGCTTTCAGTTTTGCTGAAACTTTACAAACTCATGCATCTGTTCTCATTGTTCATTCTTTTCTGAAAACCAACAATGGCAAAAATTGATACACAATTTCCCCATTCACTTCACAAGCTTGGTTTGTGTAATAGGTCAATTTGGGGGAAAGTTGTGTCCATCTCAGCTGTTACGAGCTGTATACTGCACGTTTCCTTAGCTAACCTGCACTGATTGGCTCCGACTGATCACTGAGCCAATCTGAACAATGTAGAAGCACATGCAGATCTATTTTGGTGCTGTGTCCAAACACTACTACAGTGTGGGTAGTCCTCTTGGACACAAAGGTTATTTGAAAATTTTTCATCTGCTGTTGAGGTTATGTGGACGGACACCAATTCCACATTTGACTTGCCAAATAGAATTTCCTTCTTTTTTTTTTTAACCCAGTAGAGTTTTTCAGATTTAATCTAATAATACTTTAATTAAGCAGTTTGACTAAGAACACAAACATTGATTTAGGCTACTTAATGATTGAGTAGGCAGCAGAACAGTTTACATTTCATACACAAATTCAGACACAGGAAATGTCCAGAGCAGAAATTTTCTTCTGAGTTTTAGGTGCTTTCGGGTTAAACAGTTTACTCAAGGGCAACTCAACTTTTGTGGTTAAAGGAGGAGAGAGTGTTCTGCTCTAAAAGTTGCTGAATTCAGCCAGAGTAGTGCTGGTGGTTTTAAAGCCCACTCATGATGACGAATTGTTCCAAATACCATAAAAAATTCAAACTTCAAGCTTTACTGAACTAAAACTAGGAACAGTAAGTGACTGATCCCTGAGGATCAGGTCTCCTTTGGTTTGTCCCCTCTGGGAGGTCAGAGGTTACATTCAATCCCAGTACAGCCTATCTGGAGCTTTTCAGAGATTTGCTGTTTTGAATGAAGTTGCTGTTCATATTGTGATCAACTTGGTTGATATTCCACTATATTCTATCGCAGTGAAAATCTAAATACATCCTTATAGTGTTCTATGCGTTAGTTTATATTTTTAATTATCACAGTAGGAAAGGCACAGGATATAATAACAACATAATGTGGCCAAATCGCAGAATATTTTTAAGTGTTTATTGCTGTCAATAACTGCCATTACAGCTATGGTATCAAGCATTCATTAACTTTATTGTTAATTAGTCATGGAAGCTACATAGGAGATATTAATGAACTTAAAATTCCATTGTATTTGCTTACAAAACTGTAATGTGTTATAAACCATAAAGTGTTTGCTTACTGCTTATAAATGCTAAATAGGCACTTTTGAAATAAATTGTTACCACAAGTTCTAATTAGTCATCATGCATAGAAAGTAAACTGAACCAAACTACATCAGAACTTGCCAATAGTATTTGAGAGCTGTTACTAGTACTCAGCCTCTTGACAGTTGTCTTGTGGTAGTGTTGATCAACTTCCTGTTGCTTGTTGATTGTGCTCCAATCCGTGTGAACACATCAGTTACCAACAGTGAGCCTGTGTCTTTTTACCCTACTGAAGTTCCTTTTGCATTCCTGTGTGATTATTCCATATACACAAGAGTGTGAGTGTCTGTCTTCTATACACACTCCAACTTAAGTGTATCTTCTCCATCTCCCTCCGCCGCTTCTTCTTCCTCTCTCCTCTCTGTTTCCCTGGCGGGCAGATAAACATGATGGGACATTCCGCCGGTTGTCGTGGAAACACTGAGAAAGCACAGCTGGGCGGGAGAATATGAGGTAATCTCACCCTGGGGCTGCTGGGTAAATATTGGTCTTAAATAAGGAGTAAAACCCCAAAAGAGGCACACAAACACACACAGAGAGAGAGACACACACACACACACACACACATACACACACACACACACACACACACACACACACACACACACACACACACACACACAGCCACACAGCACACACCTTCAGGGGTTTATCCTAGTTTTGTCTGAGTGGAAACACACAGGACAGACCTTCACACAGACACTCATAATGGCACATTTCCTGCTCTGCTCTGTTATTACTGGTTACAAAGAGTGAAATTAATGATAGCTTGTGGTGTGACTAAATGTTTATGGAAGTAAACAGTGAATGTCTGACAGATACAACCTCAGCATTGAACCCAAACCCTGTCAAGAAGTCTGGATGTTCAACTCAGTCAAGTGGATTTCCCCCCTTTGTAACCAAGATCTGTGAGGCCCGACAATGCTTTTGGCTAAATGCTAACATGCTCACAGTTACAATGCCATGCTGATGTTTAGCAGGCAGAATGTTTACCATGCTCACCATCTTAGTTTAGAGTGTTAGCATGCTAACATTTTTTAATTAACCTAAACACCACGTAAAGCTGAAGCTGTTAGTGTTCTTATTAGTTTTCCATGTATTTGATCTTAAACTTGTAGCATTGGACAAATTAAACCTTTTATCTGATGATGGTGCAAGATAGAAATTAAGGGGATCACCAAGTTATTACAGTTTTGTGCCAAACTCCCGCACTTACACAGACATTTCACTCAAAACCACAAATGTCAACCTCATGATGGCATTAAAAGAAATGTCAGAGGCTCACCAAAGTCAGATGGTCATCCTCTGGGAACCATGAATTTCAGTACAAAATTCTGTGCCACTCCATGTTGTCGATCTTGACTTTTTTCCCTGGAAGGGTTAAAACTTTGACCTGCCAGGTGGCGCTAGAAGAAAAGTTGGCGAATCACCCAGAAAAAATTATTATTCATCCTCTGGGGACCATGAAATTTAATCAGAATCCTTGACTGTTTAGATATTTCAGTCTGGACCGTAGTCATGGACTAACAGACCGACACTGACATCCCTAGAGTCATGCAGCTAATGTGGCCAATAAAAACTGCATATTTTTGGCCAAGAGGGGTTGTAGTTTTAATTTTTTATGTCGTTATTGATAACAGAGACTCTACAAGTATGAAAAGTAAGATTCATTTTATAACTTATGCTAAGTGAATCTACAATGAATTTAGAGGGAATCTACCTAAAATACCCAAATGCAGCCTGACACTTCAGTTCATAAATTGACTTTTCTTATAGCACATAGCATAAAGACCATCTTGACTTATAATCCCTCTTGGATATTAGGTCCATATATCAGTACCACAGTAAAACTTGAACAGATGGCCTGGGAAGAACAGACCTTGAGTCGTGTGTTTTGGGTATCATGATTTCATTAATTTCGCATGAGGATTGAGTGTGAAAAAAAAAGAAGTATGGATTAACATGTTAGTATTGTGTTGTTACACTGAAGTAGTTTTTTTAATATAGAGATCACTGGAGAACAGTATGTGTCCAGTGCACTACTCCAAAGCATCCAGAGCTGTTCTCACCATGTAAATCTGTCTTCCTACTCCTCCTCTGGCTCTGTCCTCAGTGTGCTATAAGAACACAGCCAAATCTCTCCCACTACCACTGTAAATCTGAAACTGGACACTTTTCTCTCTTTCTGTTTCTTTCTCAGCTTCTTTCTCTCTCCTTGAATTTGTCTCCTCCTCTCCACCTCCCTCATTTTCTATTGCTTGTTTTCTCCACTCACCGATCAGACATGATATATCCTTCACTTCCTCTCTGTTTTGCAAATTATGAAAGTAAAGTTTACGTTATGTCACTCAGCTCAAAGAAGTTGATGCCACAGCCGAAACTGACAGCGCAGACAGAGGGCAAAGAGAACTTTTGTGTTCTATTTTATACATATATATTACACATATATGGAGTTTGAATTTGAAAATTTAAGAGAGGGAGGGAGACACAGGCAGAGAAGTGGGAGACAGTGGGAGTAAGGGAGATGAGTTTAACTCCTGACCTATCTGCCTCTTATTCATTGTGTCACTCTGACTCTCTGTGTTTCTCTCTACACCCAGAAGCTGACTCATTGGTTCACTTGTCCCACCTCCCTCTACATCTCGCCCTCTGATTGGCTTGGCACTTTAGCTAACACTCAGTCACCGGGTGTTTACACAGCTGGGTGGCCAGTGAAAGGTAAGGTTCATGCATGTGTGCATGTGCGTGCATGCAGACGTTGGATAAACCCCAATACCACATCATATATACACCCCCCACCACCACCCCCCTCTTCCTCTAAATCTACACCTCCCACAGGCCAAAACGCTGCGTGCCCTCAGCTCCTCCTTTCCGAATTACCCTCC